ACTCGCCGAGTCCAAGGCCAAATGCAAAAATATAAATAAAAGAATATGTACCAAGAACTAGGTGCTACAAATCTCCCCCACTTATTTTAGACTTCGTCCTCGAAGTCTGCTGCTCGATCCTAAAACAGCTCGGGGTAATGTTCCATCATCTCGTCCTCCGACTCCCAAGTCCACTCCGACCCCTTCCGGTGCTGCCATTGCACCTTCACGAGTTCCATTCTTTTGTTCCTCAAATCCTTCAACTTCCGGTCGAGGATTGCCTCCGGTCGCTCAATGTAGTTTAGCATGTCATCAACCTGAATATCCTCCAAGGGTACCACTGCTGAGGCATCCACCAGGCACTTTCGCAGTTGAGAAACATGGAAAGTGCTATGTATCTGACTGAGTTCGGCTGGCAAATCCAGCCTATACGCCACCTTGCGCACCCGGGCTATAACCCTGAACGGTCCCATGTACATGGGGCCCAACTTGCCCCGCTTCCTGAATCGGATAACGCCTTTCCATGGCGACACCTTCAGGAGAACCATATCCCCGACCTGGAACTCCAGGTCTGATCGACGCTTATCGACATAGCTTTTCTACCGACTCTGAGCAGTCTGAAGCCTGCTCCAGACCTATTGAATCTTCTCTGTCATCTTGAGCACTACCTCAGTGCTCCCCATTACCCTGTAGCCAACCTCGCCCCAACATATCGAGGTCCTGCACTTCCTCCCATATAGCATCTCAAAGGGAGGACGATCAATGCTCGCATGATAACTATTCTTATAGGAGAACTCTGCCAATGGAAGGTAGGTATTCCAACTACATCCGAAGTCTAATACGCATGCTCGTAGCATATCCTCCAGGGTTTGGATGGTCCGCTCGCTCTAACCAACCGTCTGCGGGTGAAAGACGGTGCTAAAATGCAGACGAGTACCCAACTCGTCATGAAACTTCCTCCAACACCTGGAAGTGAATCGTACATCCCTTTCTGAAATCACAGAAACTGGCACACCGTGCCGCGCCACCACCTCCCGGACATAAATGTCAGCCAACTTCTCGGCCGAGATGCTCTCCTGAATCGGGATAAAATGGGCGCTCTTGGTCAATCGATTGTCTTCCATCGTGATGTCTTCCCATTTCCACAGTGGAACATCTAATGATTGCATCTTTTGGTGAGGTCTCTGATGCTCAGCCTTAACCTTCCTGCAGGTCAAGCACCGCTCCACGAACCATGCCACATCCCGCTTCATGCAGGGCCACCAATAGTCCAAACGAAGATCCCTATATATCTTCGTCGCCCCGGGATGAATGGAGAACCGATATTTCACGTATTTTTCAAATAAAAAACAGTAATTTTTATTTTTATTTATTTTTTTAAAGTTCCAAAAATAATAATTAAAAAAAGAATTTTTGGATTTTTACTTTTATTTTACATTTTAAAATTATTTTTAGATTTAGTCTCATGGTCTCACAAAATTAGTATGGTCTCGAATAAACCTGAACCAATATATATATATATATATATATATATATATATATATATATATATATATATATATATATATATATATATATATATATATATATATATATATATATATATGATTCATTATGTAAAACTTCTCTTTATGCTAAACCTATGCTATCTTTTTGTTGTTTATCCACGATATAATTTTTTAATTATAATAGAGATGAAATAATGGTATAAAATAATAAAATTCCTTTGCTTGAACTAGCAACTTACAAGCCATGTTTTGAAAATCAGACCGGACCGGCCGGTTCGATCGGTTCAACCGGGAATCGGTCCCGGATCCGGTTCTTAAATGCCAAAAAACCGGTATTCATTTGAACCGGTGAAAACCGGTCAAAACCGGAAATTTAAAAAAAAAATATATATATTTTTTTATTTTTTGTATTTTTTATATAATTAAATATAATTATGATATTATCCGGTTTTCCCGGTTTTTGAAACCAGTCTGACCGGTTGGACCATCTGAACCATCGAACCGGTAAGACGACCGGTTCGATCTCCGGTCCGGTTTTCAAAACATTGCTTACAAGCTTTTAAAATAAGTCAAAGATAATTATAGATTTCTTTATTGCTTTGGGTTTGATTCCATCGCTTTGTAACAATCTTTTCTGAACTAAATCAACTTTTTTTTTTCGTTAATAAAGATGTAATAAAATAACGAGTTAATGACAAAAACCTTTGTACTTTGAACAAATATGAAATCAGAAAAAAAAATGTAACAAAGAGATTAAAAGTTGGAAATTCGGAAGAAGTAAGGGACTAGTTTTGTAATTCGTAGGTATAAAATTGAATCACAACCACACAAACACACGTGAAAATGGAGGGTCTGGACGTCTGTGGTTGCTTGGGCCGACAACTAATCATTCAATTTTACTACGATTTTCTTCCACGCATCAATAATTCAAAACATGTTGCTTTTTTCCATCATACTTCCTAACCAACATTTCACATTTCATTTTTGCATAGTAATCAATCTTTCAAAACAGTTCGTTTTACTTATTGATTTGTTATGAAACTAAAAGTTTTGTTTCTGTTTTATGAAAATTTGTTAATTTTTGAATAAATAAACATAACTACATTGGCTAACCATACAATGATCCTTTTGAGAGATGGTTTGGATAGTTGTAATGGCGTAACCCCAATGGTACTTAAAGATATAAGACATAGGACTATAGGAGTTGTTTGTTTCTAAGTTAACAAGTAATAATATAGATTAAGCATTTAATATGGATAACTATGTACATATATCTTACCATTCAAACCTACTATATGTGTATCATTACGGCGAGGTGGTGATTGAAGTCTTTCAAACTTTTACAGCCTTCCAAACTTTCTGATTTAGAGTCAACTTTACAATAAGAAAAAGGTTTATGGAATTGTCGTCCATGCACCTCTAAGTTAAATCCATATCACATGTTCTAAATTGTCAACCCGGGTGCTTCCTATTTATATATTTGAGCCTCCCCGTAGGGGGAATATGCTTCTATTAAAGAATTAGGAGTCGGTCCTAGATAAATTTAAAAGAAATTAGTTATCCGGTTGAAAATCCAAAGCATTATCGTTTGGAGAGAAACTTGTTGGGGTATGAAGTCTTGTTCAACATTGAACACTTAAATCACAATGGAGCACTTGGAGTTCATGAAGCATGTGACAAATTAACGAATCATTTGAGAATGGAATAGGTCGTCTGGCAAAGAAACAAATCAAGTGCCAAATGAACGGATCATACAGAAGGGGTTTGGAGCACCTGGAAGATGTTTGGAGCACTTGGAGTGATATAGAGCAACAAAGGGATCTTGTTGCGACATATGTTAAAGGGATGGGCCAAAAAGGATGCTCTTGCGCCATGACATTCCTTCTTGCGCCATAATGCTCCCTCTTGCGCCATGAGGATCCCTCTTGCGCCATGAGGTACTCCTCTTGTGCCATGCATGTTTCTGTTGTGTCATGGTGGTATTGTTGCTCCAATCTTGATGTTCTTATGAGACACATAAAGCCGCTTGCGCCATCCATATTCCTGTTGCACCATGATGGCGCAAGATGGACCATCTTGGTCCTTGATGAGCCAAGTATGCTATGAAGTCGTCTATGATGTTTAAGATCGTTCAAAGATGCTCAGGAGTTGGTATTGCTCAAGGTTTACACCATGTTGTGCTACCATGATGGATGTTAGACCATCGGTGTTCATGATGCACCACCTATGCATCATGATGTTCCACTATGGTCAAGGTGATCCATCATGTGTGTTGTTAATGCTCATGAGTTGTATGTCATAGAAGAATGTTCCAGAAAATGTTACATGGTATAATATTATTGGTTGTCACCATTCATGGGCCTATGGGCCAATGAGTTTGACCCATTAAGGTTTTAGGTCTGATCTCTCAAATATAAATAGACTCTTACCCAATCATTGTAAATTACTAGTTTTTTGTGAGAGCTCAAAGTGAAATACAATTTTGAGTGCTGTAATAGTTCTAGAAACTAATAAAATCATCTCTCTCTTTCTTTCTTTCTTTCTCTCTCTCTCTTTCTATATATATATATATATATATATATATATATATATATATATATATATATATATATATATATATATATATATCTATCTCGTTCGCCCGTAGACATATGTCATCTTGATCAAACCACATTAAATATTATGTTCTTTTGATTTATGTTTTTCAGAGGCTTTGTGAGTTCACCGAAGTTTGTTTTTTGATATTTTTCAGAAATGCTTAACTTGTTTTGTTGTCTCCCAACAAAACTCACTCTTATCATATCCGTTCTCAGGAGTCTCCTTATTTTATTTTATTATTATTATTTTCTTGCAAACAAGAAAACTAGATAGTATAACAATACGATTTTTATAGGGTGAAAATGCAATAAAAAATAAATAAATAAACTGAGTTGCTTATAGCAAAGTAATTACACCTAAAGAGCTTGGGGGCTTGGGGTGGGTAACCTAAAGCTATACAATCTTTTTGTTAGTATATCTACATCGATGTGTGATACAGTCCTATAAGTGATTATATATGTTGGAGTTCCTATTCTCTCCACTCTTTTAGAGAAAAACATATATTTTCACTTTTTTATATTAGGTTGAATGGTAAAGTCGATAAATAGCAAACCTTATATTTATATTGGATTATTTTCTTTCAAAATCTGTCTTTTTTTTTTTTTTTTTTTTTTGGCAAATAGTTAGGAGAGAAGATTATCAATTCACCGTTTTTGATTATTTTTCATTAAATAACTAAGAAACAATATTTTGATTTTTTTAATCATTTATTTCCATTTCTTTTCAACCCACTTCTTAAAAAGAACTCCGGAAAACAGGGTAAGCGATTTCATATTAGTTACACAAGTTGAAACAAATTCTTATTATAATACAAAACTAGAAAGATATCTATAAAATCATATAATAATATTCTGAATAATAAGAAGAGTAAAAAACCATGCGTTTTAACAAATAACGATAAGCATGACATCGTCTTCTTGAAGTACAAAAAATGGTTGAATTTTGATCGATTTAAAAATCATACTATTCTTATTTTAAACATTCAAAACTAATATTAAATTGAACAAATATCACATAATTAAATATTTGTAAATATAATTTTGAAAGCGATGGAAGCCAATCACGTCTTTGAAGTTTGGTTATGATTGAAGGAAAGGCCACGACTTTTTATTTATAAAACTTTATTTTTATAACATATAAAAACTCCAACCCTTTGTCAAAACCTGTACGTATGCCACTTGTACACTTCTCAATCCGAGACTAGTATGACACGTGTACATTCACAAATACAAATATGACAGGATAGTACCTGTGGTATACAACAAAGCACACTCGACTCTGTCTCAAATATCTAATTTCCCCGAGGAAGTTGGCAATTGTTTTCCTATAGTGAAAGCAACAACTTTTATTAGAAAAAAAAATTTATACTACTAACTCGTAAAGTTATTAATATTAAGTTGAAAGATTAAATACCAAATCATTAGTTATGGGATTGAATTTAGTTAATTTAGTTACTTATATCTTGTATATAAATAGAGTTAAACTACTCTATGTCTATATAAAATACAAACAATTTAGTTAAAATACCTTTAAACAAGGCTTTTAGATTATATGGCGACGTGACACTAGAATCTCCGTTCCAAAACATATTTGCGAATTGTCGGCTTGCCACTTCATTAGGATGATTAGAATCAAAGAAAAAATAATCACTAGCATTTTTACACAATTTAAACTCCTTCACTCCTCTTTTCCCTCCACAAGTATAAATCCCACCAAAAGGACCACTACCACAACACGCAGTGTCTCCTACCTTGAAACCTTCGATCCAAATTTCAAAATCAGTGGAAGTTTATAAATTCAAAACAATGGAAGGCGTGGGTATTTGAATAATACCATATTTTGATGGGTTCTTCATCCTTTTTCTAACGGCTGTATTGAGATCGTACTTTGCGTACATGAATCCTTCCAATTGGTTCTCGAGCTCTTGAAGTTTCTGTGAAAGTTCCTGGTTGTGTAGATTTACGATGATGTCAATTTCTTCACTGCAAGTATTGTCTGGTCGTCCTGCACGAACGCTTGGCCAACACCCTATTGGCGGGACTGTAACGATTCCGAATTTCCTTCCTCCTCTTTCATGGATCCCCTTTTTTCAAAAAGAATTGAAGATCTGGGATTTGAGAATCGAGGTGATTAAAAAGGAACGAAATATTTGTTATTTGATTACCTTGAACGCATCAGTCAAGTTTCCGATCACCATTCCCACGTACTCTTCATGTGTATATGGATAAAGAATACTCTCGTTGTTGCCGACGGGGCTCAGATAGTCGTTGCCTCCGCAGCTGAACAAGTAGACGGCATCGGATAACAGCTGTTCAGCTTCCGAATCGCCTAAATTCTGTCTAAACTGTTTCTCTAAATCGCGGAAATACTGTAGCTGTGTTTTTAGGTCAACTACCTACCAATTTATATATTGAATCAATAGATGAGGAAATCGAAATATAATTCATGGAAACGAAGGGATTCATACAAATCCAACATGGCTTTCGACTAACGCACCAGCGCCTCCCGACGCAAAGTTTGCTCCATACACGAATTCCTTATTCCGGGGATCGAGATACGCAGGAATGAGAGGCAGTTTCGCTAACTCGGCTGTTTGATGGAAGATGAGTTAGGAATGAGGAAGAAAAAGAGATAGGCGGTTGTTTGTAAATATTCTCACCGACGAAATCAGGGATGAGACGACCATCGGAGAATCTTCCACTTGGAGGATCGAAGTATGATTCGCCATACGGAAAAAAATTCGCCTGGAATTCTGGAGTTGTGTTTATGTAGTTGTTGTTTCCAGGATCGTATAGCGAATCACCGAAAACGAAGAGCGCAATGTGTTTGTTGAAATGCGCCTGAGAAATCTGGCAAACTGTAAGCATTAAGAGACATGAAACAGCTAGTGGAAGACCCAAATCGGTAACTGCAACGGCCATATGTCTAAAGTTAATCATCAAGTTAGCTTGCCGGCGTTTTTATGGGTGATATTAAATGAATGTGTCGTGTTCTATTTTTGGATCGTATTTTTGACTTGACCCAATGCAGCCGCCATTACTAGATGGGTCAACAAGACTGGGGGATAACGATATCCCAATTAAAGTATGTCCTATTTTGTCAAAATTTATGGCTCTAAATTAATATATGCATGTATTTTTTTTTCTTTGCATTTTTTGTTCATAAAACATTGTTCCCCAACGTTTCTTTCATGATATAAATGCAGTTTAAAGATAAATGTTAAATTTAAATATATCAAATAGCTATTTCCTTAATTTATTGAATCTTTTAAAGCAACACATATTAACAAAAACCATAGAGGATTTATAATTGTGTTGGTGATTTTAGTGTTATCAAAATGTTTAAGTGTAATTGTTATTAATATTGAGTTAGACTGAGTTCTATTTTACTCACTGTGATTGGAGGTGTGGGGTGTATACTCGAAATGATAAATGAAAACTAGGGATACTAGGGTTCGGGGGCAGCGCCCCTAACGGGGTCCAAGTGGTAGAACCCCTAAACAAATTTCTATAATGGGAAAGACTTCAACCATGCATTTCCCGCCAAAAACAAGTGGTGACATCAGTGTGATGTTATAATCAGTTTTGTCATATAACCATATGTCTAACCACCATTTTGGTGCCAAAACTGCATGTAACCACCAGTAACTATCTTTTCCTTATATATAAGAACACATTGCATGAAAAAGGGTTACATTCTATACACTCAATCTATACATTAGATTCTTTCTGTCTCATCAAACACAAATTACAAGGTACTTTCCGTGTTTCAGATTTATAAGTCGTCTAATTTCTAAATTGTCATTCTTTGATTATCCTAAATTTGATTTCGTGATACCCCAAGCTATAGGGTCGAAATCATAGAATTTGGAAAGTGATTGCAATCATGATCCTAAAAAATATCCAAGTATATTGATATTTTTAAAACCCAAATTGTATCAAATTTATTCAGTTCGCTAGTTAAACCAACATTAGTATGTTAGCTTGAGTTTTTTTTTTGAACAACTAAATCATATAAAAACAAGGTCTAGCAAGGATCTAGAGAAAAAAAAAGAACTGCAAAAAGTTAGGCATTGACCGGATTTTTCAACTAGTCAACTCAAGAAATCACAGGCTTATGGTTCCTATAACCAATCAAACAAAAACTCTCTAATCGCTTAAAATTTTTATGTTTATGAAACTTATTCCGTTCAGACACCAAGTCATTAGCAAAACCCACAAGGTAGCATTAACAATCTTCCACCATCACCTTCTTGTGTCGGGTCACGAACACATTTATCCAAAGAAGAAGATCACCCATTTGATGATCATGTTTAATTAATTACAAATGGATCAAAATTATGAACTAACGCAAGTTTGGTGGTACAAAATATAAATAATGTGAGTATGATCACGAACATGATTAGATAACGTTTAGAGGGTCGTGTCACTTGCATGTCTTTTGATCGTGTTCACAATGACTTATGTGATTTTCATTATACTCTTTTATGAAATAAGAAATATGTGGCGACTTTTATAATTGATTCATCACATTTTTGTTATATTTATTTATTGATTTTTTTTTTAAATACAATACTGTAGATAAATTTAAAAATTACAAAACTAAAGTTACACAAAAATTTATTGTTAGATTCTATGAACTGATTGGGTGGAGATTATATGGATCCCAATTATTTGGAATTATACATGAAGAGAAATCAAATATTCTCCTATCTTTTATTACTATCTTTCTTTCTTACTTGTTAGGTCAAATAAAATATTAAAATTTAGAGAGAGAGAGAGAGAGAGAGAGATGTTAGTATTTCATGAGTAGAAAAATGGGTGAGAACAAAAAATAGGAGGATATTTAATTTTTGTATTGAAATAATGGCTTCTTATGTTAGCCTGTAGATTATTAGATTATTAGCTCACATGTTTATGGTCCATTTAGTCTTTAGCCCTTTAGGGTTTTATCTGGCTAGTATTTATTCTCCGCTTTATTCTTTGTAGTCTTTATGCTTTTCATTGAGAACCTTGTAATTTCTCTCTATCATAATCATATGACAATGTTATCATGGTATCAGAGCGGAGGTTCGATACATTGTTAGAAGACTTTGTAGCAGTCATCTGTGGCTGTTTCGTTTTCAATATGTTTGATGCTTTGTCGTTGCTGATGTTCGTTTGTTTATTGGTACTCGTTTGCTGCTGTTGTTAGTTTGTTGTTGCTATTCGATTGATTGCTTCCGCTAGTTTGTTTGTCTTCTCATTCTCAAATTGCTTATCTATTGTTGTTGTTATTTATTCGTTGCCAACATGACTGGAAAGGATGATTCCATTCAGTTAATCAATAATCATCTAGATAGAAAGAATTATATGTATTGGAGTTATGTTATGAAGAACTTCCTTCGTGGGAAGAATATGGTGAGCTATGTCACTGGGACTAAAGCCAAACCCTCAGTGCCTCAAGCCGAGAATTTCGATTTGTTGATTGATGCTTGGGAGACTGATAACTCCAAGGTCATTACTTGGATTAACAATTCTGTTACTCAGTCTATTGGTATGCAGTTGGCTAAATATGACACAACAAATGAAGTTTGGAATCTCTTGGAGATACTATATACTCAGTCCAACTTTGCTAAACAATATCAGTTAGAATGTGATATTCGTGCTCTTCAACATAATGACCAGAGTATTCAAGATTTTTATGCTGCTATGTCTGATTTGTGGGATCAATTGGCTCAAACTGAATCTAAAGAGTTAACAGATTTTGAGCCTTACATTGTTAGGAGGGAAGAAAAACATTTGGTTCAGTTCTTGATGGCCTTGCATTCTGATTTTGAAGGCCTACGTGGAACGATTCTTCATCGCTCTCCCGTTCCTTAAGTGTATTATCTTGTTCATGAGTTGATTGCTTAAGAGACTCATATCAAGTCTCACGCAGATAAAGGGTTTAAAGTAACTTCCATTCTTACTTCCATTCCTGTCGTGCTTGTTGCTTCCACTAATCAGTCTCGAAAAACTTCAAGGGTTGCTTGTAATGAGTGTGCATTCTGCAAACAGAAAAATCATTGGAAAGCTCAGTGTCCATTGTTAGTCAACAAGGGTAAATCTGGTCAGTCTTATTCTGGACAAAAAATAGGTATGGTCAACATAAGTTTTAGCCATGTTCCTTTGTTACTCATCCACGGACACCTCATCCTCCATAGTTTGCTGTTGCTGCTACACCATCGGTTGACATAAAATTTGTTGGAAACATGCCACCATCAACATTGAGAGTTTCAGCCAATATTTGGCCTTTAATCCCACTGCCATGTTGGCATCCATGTCTCATTCTGGTCCTACTTTATCCGATACATCAGGTATTCCCCCATCTTCATGGATTTTAGATTATGGTGCAACCCATCACATGACTCCTCATTTATCATCATTTACTTCTTTGTCACATGCGTCATCTATTTCTGTTATGTCTGCTAGTGATGCATCTATGCTACTCAAGGGTGTTAGGTCTGTCTCTATTTCTTATATCACTCTCCTTGATGTCTATTACATTCACAAACTTACTTCGAATCATGCCTTAGACATTTAGTTGTGTAAGTTTGATAATTGGGCGTCCTTTTCTAATTATGTCTGTGCTATACATGATTAACACACTCAGAAGGTGATTGGGATCGGCTGTAGCCTGTAGGGTGAGGGAACTGTATGTCTTGGAGATTCTCAAAGTATCTGTTGTTGCTGCCTCCATCATTGATTTGTCTTCTTTTCATTTTAGTCATTTATTGTCTGAGTTTTATCTTTGGCATTCTTGTTTGGGACATGTGTCTGTATCACGTTTGAGTTTTCTAGCATCTAGTGGTGTTTTGGGTCATTTGAATACTTGTGATATTTCTGATTGTAGTGGTTGTAAATTGGTAGAATTCTTTGTTTTACCTTTTCAATAAAAGTATGTCTTGTTCTACTGCTCCTTTTGATATTATTCATTCTAATGTGTAGGGTCCTGCACCAGTATCCACAAAGGGTGGGTCTACCTATTATGTATCTTTTATAGATGATTATACTTGATATACATGGGTTTATCTTATGAAGCGCAGATCTGATTCCCTTGTCATTTACAACAATTTTAGAGCTCTTGTTAAAACTCAACATTCGGTTGTGATCAAGTTCTTCAGGTGTGACTTAGGGGGTGAATATACCTTTAATGGTTTTAATCAGTTACTCGCTTCTAATGGTACAATAAACCAGCCATCGTGTACTGACACTCCTTAACAAAACGGTGTGGCAGAACGAAAACACCGTCATGTTGTTGAGTCAACCCGCTCATTGCTCCTGTATGCGCAAGTCCCTAGTGCCTTTTGGGAGAACCAGTCATAACTGTTGTTTATGTGATTAATCGTATCCCTACTTCATTGAATTCAAGAATGTCTCCTTTTGAGAAGCTATATGGTCACCTACCAGACTACTCTTCTTTACGATTTTCTAGATTTTTTTTTTCTTTGTCCTCATGTTGAGAGAAACAAGTTGGGGCTAAAATCTGCTATTTGTGTATTTTTGGGGTATGGTGTTGGACATAAAGGATACCGTTTCTATGATCCTGTGAGTCAAAAGTTATATGTTTCCTAACATGTCATTTTTTGGAACATATTCCTTTCTACTCGATTCCTGCTATAGCCCATAAAGTAACGAAGTCAGATCTTCTGCATATTGATCCTTTAAATGAGGAGATAGAGTCTCGAGACCTATCTATGCCACCTGATCATTCAGCTCATGACACACCCACTTCTTCAGAGAGTTCCTCGACTCCTACTGCTGCCGAGTCTGCCCCTTTGACCGTTGAAATTGAAGATCCACCTCCACCACCACCCCTTAGGAGGTCTACTTGTCCTATCAAGTCCACCAAGCTTCCAGATGTTGCTTACTCTACATACTCAGGACCATTTGCTTCATTT